CTCTTCCATTATTCCCCCTTTCCCTCCTATATAAGCATCCTTCCTTTCTCTTATCCCTTCCTCCCTCGCCCTTTCCCATCCTCCTCCGTAGTCCTCTTACCTATTCCTCCGCTCAGCCCCCTTTCCATCCCTTCCATTTCCCTCCTTTCCCTCCCCGCCTATCCTGTCCTCCTTCCGCGTCCGCCACCCCTGCCTTCCCTTGCCCCCCTCCATCCCACACAGAGGCTAGGTATTATAAGAAGCGAATTCCCGGTAACTCAGATATACTGGATCACCAAGAACGAACACCACATCTGGGGGTCGTTTTTCGCTGCGAGGGGAGGGCGGGGGAAGGGGACGGAGGGGGGAGGGAAGGAAAGGAGGAGGAGGAAGGAAGGGAAGGGAAGGAAGGAGGAGGAAGGAAGGAAGGAGGAGGAGGGAAGGGAAGGGAGGGGGAGGGAGAGGGGAAGGGATTGAGGAGAGAACGGAGGAGGGAAGGGTATGGGGAAAGGAAGGGAGGAATGGTGGGGAGTTGGAAGAGGGTGGATAGGGAGGAAAGAGGGAGGAGGAGAAAAAGGCAGAGAATGGAATGAGAGGAGAAGATGGGAATAAGAAACGGAAAAGAAGAAGAGAGGAGGGGAAGGAAAAGTGAGGGAGGTAAGAAAAAAATGATGCAAAACATCAACATGGTGGAAAAACATAAAACCCAAAATATAAAACATAAAGAAGTAGAAAATAGACAAGAAAATGACCCAAGACAATGAAAACACAACTGACTCATTCTCTCTCTCCTCTCCCCTCCTCCTGCCTTCCCCACCTCACTCCACCTCCTTCCACCTCCCCCCTCCATCTCGTCCTCCTCCCCGCTCTCCCTCCTCCACCGACCGTGTCCCACTCCCATCTCTCATCTTCTCCTCCCCTGCTATCTAACCCTTCTCTTCCTCCTCCCTCCCCACTTCTCCCCCCTCTCCGCTCTACGCCGCCACACCTGTCATCTTGTGGTTAAGCTGGGAACTGTGAAATGTTTTAAAGCAAAAGTTGTCAGCAGATGAAGAAGAAGGGGAAATTTTGGAAGGCGAATTGGAAAATGAGTGGTGGAGGCGTGTGTGACCGTGTGGTGCGTGGTGCGTGTGCCGTGGTGTGAGTGTTGAGGAATTCCCTGCCCTCCGAAATGGATTTGCCTCGCTTTCTTGACTTTTATTTTTTATTTATTTATTTTTAATTTATTTTATTATTATTTTTTATTTTATTTTTTTTTGTTCCTGCTCTATCCTCCTCTTCCCTGCCTTCCCTAACCTCTGCTTCGTTTTGTGGATTTTTTTTTTATCTTCTGGTTTTTACGGTGTTCTTTGTCTTATTATTGTTTTTTTTTCTTGTTGGTTTGTATTTGTTTTAATTTTTTTATCTTCTAATTTTTGTTTGTTGTTTGTTGCTCATGTTTTATTTTTAAATGTTTTCTTTCTGTGTTTCTTGTTTTCTCTTTTTTTTCTCTCTCTGTCTGTCTTTATAAGCTCTTCTTCCCTCTCTTCCTTTCTCCTACATTTCGTTTTCTCCCTTCCTAGCTTCTATGCCATCCTTCTCTCCTCTTTCTCTCCATCTCCCTCCCCATCTCCACTCCGCTTTTTCCACTCTCCCTTCCCATCCCCATCTCTTCTCTCCCTCTTTTCTCTCTTCCCTAGTACTCCTTCTCCATCTCCCTCTTCCTCTCCCTCTTCTATCTCCATCTACCCTATTCTTCTCCATCTCCTCTTCATCTCCCTCTTCTTCTCCATCTCCTTCTCCGTTCCAAATTTCCCTAATCCTTTAGAACACCTCCTTTTACTCGCTAACACTATCGCCAAATTCTCCATTCCCATTACAAAACTCCCTCATAGTTACGACCCATTACCTCTCACCTCCTCTCCCACCCCCTAGCTTCCCTGCTCCCCGCATCTTTTCGCCCTCTTCCGTACCTCCGCCACTCCGCTCTCTCCTCCCTTCTCCCCATGTCTCGCACCCCTTGCTTCCCTGACACCTCTCCTTATCCGATCCTCCTAACCCTCCTCACTTCTCCCCCCACCGCCTGCTTCCATTCCCGCAACTTTCCCCTCATCTATCTCCCCTCTTTACCGATCCTCCCCACTTCTACCATCCCACCCCCAGCTCTCACCTACCCCCCTCTTTTCCCCTCTCATATCTCCCCCTCCAACGCCACCACTTCCCAGCCTTCCAAATCTTCCTTCCAAGATTAACGAGAAAAATATCGGAGCGTGAGTTGCCCTTCAACACAAAAGCAGGATAGTCTATAGTAGTTGCAACTTCTGTACTCTTAACATACCGGACATAATACAGATAAGTTGCGGTACAACGAGGTTATTCGAGTCGTGTCGAATGTTTGTCCAAACTTGCCCTACCTAAGCTTTAATGTAAATCGGAAACGGAATAATAAAGAGTTCTGGCATTTAATTGTGTTAGGTATTTTTTTAATCATATTTTTTTTTTTTCTTTTTTTGCAATTACGTTACACTGCAGTAACTTTTTAGACCTCTTTTAAAATGTAAATGGAATATTTTACATTTCTAATCCGAGTCATATATCGTTAATAATAAAATCTTTACATAATATATATATTATATAATTTTTATAAATACATTTCTATTGCAATTCATTTTAATACATTCTCATACAATCGTACTTTATTGGATGATTTGTTATCTATCTCTCCCGCCCCCCCTCTTGCTCTCTCTCTATTCGTCCGATCATCTTCTCTCTCTCTCTCTCTCTCTCGATCTCTCTCTTCTCTGCTCTCTCATCTCATCTCTCTCTCTCTCAGATCTCTACTCTCTCATTTACGTCTCTCTCTCGTCTCTAACATCTCTCTCTCTCTCTCTCCCATCTACCTCCCTCCTCCCTCCCTCCCTTCCTCCGCATAGCTGGCCAAAACGCGGTCCCGCTCGGCCAGCTAAGCGATGTGTCACGCGAAGATGTTTGTGGCGAAGTAAGATGTGTGGTTCCGCCTGGGTTCCAGAAACGCTTTTTTAGAAACTCTTCTTTCATAGTTTTTTGGAAGAGGTGGGGAAGGATGGGAAGAGGGGAGAGAGGGAAGGGAGGGAGTAGGGAAGATGGGAGAGAGAGAGGGAGGAGTAGGAAGGATGGGAGAGAGAGAGGGAGAGTAGGAGATGGGAGAGAGAGAGGGAAAGAGGGAGAGGATGTGGAGAGAGAGGGAAGGAAAGATAGGAGAAGGGAGAGAGAGAGGGAAGGAAGGAGATGGGAGAGGGGAGAGGAGAGAGAGGAAGGAGGAAGGAATGGGAAAGAGGGAGAGGAGAGATGAGAGGAAGGAGGAAGTAAGGGAGATGGGAGAGAGCAGAGAGAAGGAGGGAGAGGGAGGAGTGGAAGCGATGGGAGAGGGGGAGAGAGAGAGGGAAGAGGGGAAAGGATGGGAGAGGGAAGAGAGAGAGGGAAGGGAGGAGGATGGGAAGAGGGAGAAGGAGGGAGAGGGAGGAGTGGAATGATGGAGAGGGAGAGAGGAGAGGGAGGAGGAGGATGGGAGAGGGGGGAAGAGAGAGAGGGGAAAGGGGAAGGGATGGGAGAGGGGAGAGAGAGGAGGGAAATAGGAGGAACGGATGGGACGAGGGCAGAGAGGAGAAAGAAGAATAGGATTGGAAGAGGAGAGTAAAGAAGGAGAAAAGAGAAGTCTTGTGAAGAGTAGAAGGTGAGAGAGAGGATAGAGGTATGGATGATGGAGGAAGAGAGAGAGAAGGGCAAGGAGGAGAGCATTGGAAGAGTGAAGGGAGGGAAGGGGGAAGGGAGGGAGAGGAGAGTGAGTGAGTGAGAAGTTCTCTTTACGAACCTCGCATATATTTAAGGGGAGTGGAGTCTGACTGGTTGGGAAAGAGAGAGAGAAAGAGACGAGAGAGTAGAAGAGAGGAGAGGAGAGAGAGAGAGAGAGAGAAAAGAGAGAGAAAGAGAGAAGATGAGAAGAGAGAAGTTAAGAAGAAGAAGCAGCCAGACATAAAAGAAACCCAAGACACATAAACAAAGAAAACCCGACATACCCACGGAAAGAAATAAAAAAGCAATCACAATAAAAAAAGAAATAGAAAAATACCTATAAACAAGAAGAAAGAGAAAAAACAGAAAAAAGAGAAGGAATCGAAAGAAAGAGAGAGAGAAGAGGAGAGAGAGAAGGAGAACACGGAGAACAAACCGGCAGCGACGAACTCAGACACACACACAACGCCCACAGACGACACAGCGCCACAGACAATACTCGGCACACACAACGCCCCCGACGTTAAAAGCAGAGAACGTGGGAGAAACTCGCGCCCGCAGGAACAATGAACGCCGACCCGCGATGCTTATCTCGCTGACATCACCAGAGGATGGATCATCGACTGAACTGCACTGAATCACTCATGACTGAATCACTGGACTCATTCAATCATTCCTTCGACTGACTCATATGAATAACTCAATCGACTGACTTCACCAGGATGACTTATCTAATGAACTACTGACTCATTGAATAACCCATCGACTGACTCACTGACTCATTAAATCACTCTTTGACTGACTCATTGAATAACTCATCGACTGAACATCCCAAGGAATGGACTTATGCTGACCTGACTCATTGATTAACTCATGACGACCTGCTCACTGACTCATTCAATCACTCTTCGACTGACTCATTGAATAACCCATCGACTGACACCATGATGACATTATCATAATGACTCACTGACTCATTGAATCACTCTTTGACTGACTCACTGGAAACACAAAATGACTCACTGACAGAACCGCTTACTGACTCATCGACTAAATCACTGTCTGACTTGCCGAATTTCTGACTCAGTGACTCATGGGAATACATTCAGTGAACTTCACCAGACAAGATTCAGTGAGTCCATCCGGGTGACCTCACAGACCGACGTAAATTACATGACTACCATCAAACCAGAGAGCTTTCTAATTTAACCAAAGGACCGACTCAACCGACAAAAAATCGTACAGACGACTCTCTTTAAATCTCTCCCTTCTATCTGTCTATCTATCTGTTCCTGTCTGATCTCTCTCTCTCTCTCTCTCTCTCATCATCTACAACACAAAATCATCACTCCTCCTGAATACATTCTATCATCTCTCTCTCATCCCCAACCCTATTCACTATATCAACAGCTAATCACCAACCAACCTCCTTCCCAGCTCTTCCACTCTACATCACCGTATTTCCCCCATACCTCATACTCACTCATCTTCCCGAATTCTCCAGCCATTCTCCCCAATCCTCACCACAGGCCTACCCTCACCTCGCCTCGCATCACCCCTTCTCCCTCTCCCAATCCCCATCCACTCCATCCTCACCCTGACCCTCCCTCCCTCTCCGCACACCAGCTACGCACCTCCCATCCACCTGAAGCTTCCGCCTCCCGTCCTCTCACCATCCCTCTCCCCACGCGCACCTCACTGGATCCCCCCTCCTCCCTTTCGCCAGACGACGTCGGCACCGCACGAGTCCGGCGACTAATGAAAATTGAGCGGCCAAGTTTGCAGAAGCCGGAGCACTGGCTTCGCTCGCTGCTCCTCCAGGCGTCCCGAGCCATTAGGAATTTAGTGCGCGGGTCTCTTAGCCTAATGACCGGGATGAGTGGAGGTCGGGCGGCGGCGGCGGCGGAGGTCGTCCCGGCGGGGTTTTGGGGTCGTATGGGGGGGATGGCTGGAATGGACCATGTATGGATGTGTGTGTGTGTGTATATGTATATATAATATATTATATATATATATATATATATATATATATATATATATATATTATATATATATATATATATATATATATATATGCGTTGGGAATATTGATCATATATGGAGTATATGTGTGTGTATATATATATGTTTGTGTGTGTGTGTGTGTGTGTGTGTGTGTGTGTTGTGTGTGTGTGTGTGTGTGTGTGTTGCGTGTGTTGTGTGCGTGTGTGTGTGTCGAGCACTAAATCCCAACAGAGTACAATCTTCCCATAAATCCGAAAAATCACATCATCATGTAGATGTGAAGGCAGACTCAGACTCGGCGCATTTACTCTCGCCAAATCGCGAACCTCCCCCCCCTCTCCCTCCCTTCTCCCCCTCCCTCCCTCTCCCTCTCCCCCCCTCCTTCCCCTTCCGGCTTCCCTTCTCCCCTCACTCTCCCTCCCCTCTCTCTCCCTTTCCGGCCCTCTCTCTCTCCTCCTCTTCGGCTTCTTTCCTCTCCCTTCCCTCCTCCACCCTCATCCCCCTCTCCTCCCCTCCGGCTTCCTCTCCCGTCCCTCTCCCTCTGCCTTCTCCCTCCCCTCCTCCCTCTCCTCTCCCTCCCTCTCCCTCCCCTCCCCTCCCTTCCCTCTCCCTCTCCCCTCTCCCCTCCTCCCTCTCCCTTCTCCCTCTTCCTTGACCCCCCTCAAGCCGAACCGTCAGCGAGAACAGGCCTCGTGAACAGTGAACAAGATGAACAAGAATCCTTTTCGTATTTTTGTTTTTGTTTGCAGTTTGTTATTTATACTCTACACAATGCTATTGATTTTTTTTTTTTTTTTTTTTTTGTTTTGTACTTTCATGGAACTTATTGAGGCCGAGAATATTTGTATAGCTAGAATATAATTGTCTATCTACTCTCCTCTTCTCTCTTCTCTCTCTCTCTCTCTCTCTCTCTCGCTCTCTCTCTCCTCTCTCTCTCTCTCTCTCTCTCTCCCTCTCTCTCTCTCTCCCTTCTCTCTCTCTCTCTCTCCCTCTCCCCTCCCTCTCCCTCCCCCTCCCTCCCCCTCCCTCCCTCCTCCCTCCCCCCTCCCTCCCCTCGTCCTCCTCCGTCCTCTCCCTCCCTCCATCTTCCCTCTCCTCTCTCCCTCCCCCTCTTTCTCTCCCTATCTCTCCTATCTATCTCTGCCTCCCCCCCTCCATCCATCCCTCCCTCTCTCCCTCCCTCCCTACCTACCTACCTACTTACTTTCTAAAGAGGATAAACACACACGGCCTTCACCTCTTCCCCTCAGCCAAGTCCAGCCTGAAC